GGATGCAAAAGAGTTTTAAATCAGAGAAGAATTATAAAAATACAAACTTACTACCAATTGGCATTGTTACTTCCACTCCAACTAGACAAATTCCCTTCAAGCTGACCAGAGATATATGGAATGAGAACAACATGTTAATAACAAATGAAGACTGAATGTTGATACCTAGATTTCATCATCTTTTTGAATTCAGGAGGGCTCTAGCCTCTTGAAGGGCAAGCAATTTTACCAAATTATTGGCCACCATTTACAGCTGCCTTGGAGGCATCCAGTCCCCAAATAAAACCTCCGACACTATATACATGGCACACACATACACACAGCACACACACACACAGCACGTGTAATGGTCTATAGAACATGGCAGGGTCTTTCCAGTTGCCTTAGGTAGAGCAACAGTTATGAACAATTAATATGCTTTGTTCCCCAAATTAGAGTACAGCTTCATTCATCCAACACAGTGATATAATGAGGGGTTCCTCACAAAATTGACTTCCTAGCTTCATTCACTTGATTCATTCATTCATTCTTACATTTAAAGGTCATTACTGAATGATTCTGGAGAATTATCAAAAGGAAGACAACTGACAGTTATTCCATTAAAAGCCAGAACTTAAAAAAAATGTAGTCACTTTGATAAGAATGTTTTCAAATTCCAATATACATCTCCTTGCTTTCTTTAATGGTGGTATGTGTTTAAATTATATGTGATTTAGCCTTTGGCTGATCATTTGATTTCATTTGGAGCACAGTAGAACAGACACTGGCTTCATGATTCAAGAAACAGAAGTTGTAATCCTGCCATCCAGCTGAGTGAGAGCTGAGAACCTAGTTCCTCAACTGGAATATGAGGGTGGTTTAGGGCTACCTCATATCTCGTGGCAACCCCTACTCATATGCCTTTTGTCTTTTCCCCGTGCCTATAGCGTTAAGTCCAAAGTCTTCTGCCTGCCATGTGTAATTTTGAAAATATGATTCTGATACCATTGCTGGACTGGATGACCCCTGACCTATACATTTATGGTAACTGGCAAACTTTTTGTAGGTTTTTTTCTCCCTGCTCTCATGATGTTTGATTCCTGCTACTTCTCTTATTATCTTTCCTTTGTGCCCACAACCAACAACTTCCAAACCTTTTTAAATTTGTTGCTTCCAATATTCTGTAAATTAGGCAACTACCCTTTGAAAAAAATTAGTCTAAAAGTATATTTAATAATTACACCATAGATAAGGGTTTAAGCATTCCTCCTATAAGCACAGTAATCACTGGTAGAATAACATAGCATACAGTATGTGACGGTGTTATTTAAACCCTAAGAAGCAGCTTTATTATTTTGTTCTGCTATTTTGGTTATTTGGGATCATTTTATTTCCTACCAGGCTGTATGCCACATCCAGGATAGCTAGGGATTATTATAGGGATTATTATTATTATGGTTGACCTTGACATATCCATAAATGAGCCATTACTATTTAAAGAGCTTAATGAGCCAGCACAGTATATGAAGGTCCAGAGACAGTGAAGAGTGGACAGTTTTACTGGAAGACACATTCTTCCAAAGAAGCAAGAGTAGATGGCAATGGTATCTGAATCATATTTTCAAGAATTATACATGGCAGGCATAAGACCTTGAACTTAACACTATAGGTAATGGGAAACCACAAAAAGCACATGAGTGGACTGTACCACAAGATACTTCTGGTCTTAAAGATGATTACTATGGTAGTGATGTTCAGGAAAGAGAAAAGGAGCCTGGGAGGGGCCACTTAGTCCCTGTGAAAGCCTAAACATGGTGGCTTGGGGAGGAAAGTAAAAGAAACTAATAGGAAAGGGTAAAACTGTCAAAGATAAAGTATCCAGTGATTGAAAGATGACGTACCAATACATATATACCATCAGGCAACTCAGAAGGGAGTGAGAATTTGAGGGAGTTCAGGAGAATGAATTCAATCAGATACATATTGAGGTTATAACTGTACATCAGTTCTGGTATGATTCCTATTATTCATAATTTTCTCAGACCAAGTCACCAAATCAAGTAAAAATTGTGCAAATAGAAAACAGAATAATTTTCAGTGTCTGCCAGTGAATATGAAGTCTAAGGTCATATCCCTAATTACAAATACTTTTCCCAATGAAATTCAACTCTAGTTCCTATGTGAAGACTACCATGGCATTGTAGGATCCTCCCTTTGAAAAAGTATTTCTTTGTGTTAACATGCCCAAGGAAGTTAGAAATCCTTTCATCACCAAAAACCAGAACAGATACTGATTTGTGAAGTCAGTTGGGCTAACATTCCCTAGCTGTCCCCTGCTGCTAAGTGCCATCCTGTTGGCCACAGACTGTTTAACAACTTCTTTGTTAAACTGCCTGTTAACAAGGCCTTAGTGCATAGAAGATGCAGATCACAGGTTCCCCATTCCAAAGCTACTCTAAGTCTTCCAGGCTAAATACCCAGGTGAATTTAACTACAGGCTAATTTGGAGCACAGAAACATGTAACACTTCCATTCTTTTCAAAGGAAGAAGATACAACCCTATGGATATACACATTTCCTAATTTATGATATGTCCTTAATTTAAAACAATAGAGGTATCAAAACTTTTACAATCAAGATCTGAATTTCATAGTAAACAGACACCGAACTGTAATCTCATTAAGGTTTCCACACACCTAAAGAGCATTCAATGTGCCTATTGTCTGCTAAAGATAAACTCATCGCCCACAAGAGCCCAATTCAATTCCACTTATTTGAAAAATAAGAGTATAATGAAGTTATCTATCAGAAGATACTGCTCATGAAACATTCCTTTACTAAAGGTACTTCGCACCAGCAATCGGTGGCATTGGACCATATGCCCTGTGGCATGTTCCAGGTAAACCTCCATCCCACTTGCACCTTTTCAGACTGCTGAGTGGGCTGCCATGTACCACCCAAATGGCCAAGAAACTACACATTTTTTCCAAGAGGAAAAGTGGAACTCTTTGAAAGCACTCTAATTTCATGCACGAATACATTCCACGACAGTAAGACAGACTGTTTCACAAGAGGAGGAAACACGACGACAAAGCACGGTCCTTTGCCAGAGCGACGACGCACACTGAGGTATGAGGTGCGCCACACAGGGCACTGTTCTAACCGGGTCATTATTTTCCACACGGGGGCTGGGGGGGGGCGCAGATATTTTCTCAAAATCGTGTTCCCGTCAGTCTCCTATTGATTTTTTGAATTTCTATTTTCAACGGCGGCGCAAGGAAACGGCAGCCAGACTTGACTCCAATGTACACACAAGACTCAGGTTTCACCCCGTCACCTGTTGGCTCCTGAACAACACTCCTCTTTGTGAAACTCACAGCACTCGTTTGAAACAAGTTTCCAGAGAAAACACTTCAAGAAAGTGTTTGAGAAGTCACAAGGCTCGAGCTGTAAAAACAAATTCCACACATAGCCCGGCTCGCAGGGACACAGATTAATGTGAAAACCCGAGCTCTGAACAGTGCGGATAAAGGACCGCAGGAGGGAAAGAAGGCCACCCTACTTCGGGAACGTTCAGCGGGCCCATTCTCTACGGGGCGGCGACTGAAGGCTGTGGGGCTCCTCTGGGCGGGCCGGTCCGCAGCAGCAGGAGCGACGCCCCAGAGCGGGCGTCAGCGCCCCCTGCGCCCGCGAGCCCTGCCTCTGTGCGGCGGCGGCGGGGGCCGCGAGGGGGCGCCCCAGGCCGCGGGCCGGACCGGGTCCCCGTCCCCGTCCCCTTCCCGGCTTCGGGGAGCCAGAGGCCAAGTCAAGACCCAGCGGCAGGGAGCGAGCCCCTCCGCAGCGCCGCCGCGAAGCCCCGGAGAGCAGTGCCCCTCGTCCCCGAGGACGGGAGAGCCGCCTTCAAACGCCCCTTACCTACGCCTCGGCGCAGCGTCCCCCGCACGGCAGAGCGCCAGCCCTGCGCCCGACGGCGGCACCGAGGGCCCGCGGGTCCCCACGTCTATCCCACCGCTTCCGAGAAGTTCCTCCTGCAGACGCGCACCGACGCGCACGCCCGCAGCCCTCCGGGGTTGCGTCCCCTCCGCCGGCTGCCGTCGAGCCCCGGGGCCCAGACGGCGGGTCCCCTCCTGCGGCCGCGGGCAGCGGGGCCGAGCGCGGCCTGCAGACCCCCGCGCCCGCCGCGGAGCCCCCGGCGCGCGCTCGCCGCCCACTCGCTCTGCGGCCGGCCGGGGCTGGCGGCCTGCGCCGGCTGGTTCCCCAAGGAAGAGACGGCCGGGTGTCCTCCAGGTCACCCTCGCCCACCCACTTCCTGGGGAGACCCCAGCAGGGTGGGGGCCGAGGGGCGAGACAGCGGGCGCGGGGCCCCCACTCAGTCGGCGCGGGCCGCGCCCCCCGGGCCGCGTCGCAGCGCGGGCCCCGCCCGGCCGGAGGGGTCGTCCCCGCCCCGCCGTGTCGCACTCGCCCCCGGGCCGGGCCGGGCCGGGCCCCTCTCGGTGCAGCGCGGCGATTCTCACCCGCGGCAGCTCCCCAGCCAGCCGCGGGGGGCCCGACTAAAGCTCCTCCAGCTCCGCAAGACCCCCTGTCCGCGCCGGCGCGCCGGCTCCGCGTGCCCGGGTTGGAGTCGCCTGCTCCAGGCCACCGCATTCCGCGCGCCCCTGCCCTGCGTCTCTCCAGGATCCTCCTCTGCGGAGAGGAAAACCCGTCTCTGCTCCGCGCCCGGAGCCCGACTGCGGCCGGCGATCTCCAAAAGTAATCAGAGCCCGCAGTAAAAAAAAAAAAAAAAAGTAACCGTTTCGCTTCCTGTCGATCCCACCCTCCGCCGAGCGCGGCGGGCCGGCCGCCCGGCTCGCGGTCCCCGCCCGGCTGGGCGCTCCGCTCGCGCCCGCCGGAGGCGCCGCCGCCCGCTTTCCAGGAACTGTCACCGCCGGCCGTGCCCCTGGCGGGGCTCCAGGAGGTCCCGCGAGCCCTGTTCCTCGAAAAGTTACCCACCCACTTGGCCAGCCTCGCGGACGGGCACCTACCTCCGTCCGCCCGCTCCATCCCCGGGAGCCCAGTGAGGGAGGCCGCTAGGATGCCGGTGCCCTAGGACGCTTATGTAAACGTCCCCCTCCAGCAGGTGCACGCGCGGGCCACAAAACGCTGGGAGAATTTGAAAGGCCACCTCTTAAAGAAATCATCTCTACTCGGCCCATAACAATGATGTCAGCAAATGGCACATTTAACCCAAATTCTCACTTGGAAGGGCTCATTAACATATGAATTCTTCTCTTAGGACTTCCCTTGCATTTCGGAGCGATTCCTACAGCACAGAGCAGGAGATTTATTTTTATCAGCAAATAACAGCAAAAGAAAAGGAGCCAGGTCACGCGATGTTAACTCAAGTACACTAGGAAGAGGTTTTTTTTTGTTTTGTTTTTGTTTTTTGTGGTTTCTTTTGCAAATAGGTTAAGTGAATAGCATTATTCAAACACAGGAAAGTGCCCTATACTAAAGGCTAATCTTGTTTCTGAACTATCTGTAAGTACACTGAGAGAAAGTGCAGCTTGGTTTCAGTTGTCTACAGAAAGGACCAAGACAAGCAAAAACAGGACCTCAAAACAAGCCCTGAAAGAAATGATAGATTAGTAATAATCAGTAGAGGTCTGAACTACAAATCTTAGTTTCTACAGTAACCTCCTTATCACAAGGTGATATTAATAGAATGACAAGGGAGGAAAATGCAATATTTAAGAGCTTCCTCAGTTTATGACAATAAATTTTAAGTGTTTTTCAGTTCCTTTGTTATCCTTTTTTTTTTAAGCTAGAAAATAATCCTGTGCCATCAGGATTCCTTGGGAGCGATTCGCAACCTATATGTCTCTACAGTTTACAACTGAACAATAGCTCATTTATTGTAACTGTGGCTTTAAAATATACAAACAAGTTGCCATAAATAGATCAGTCAAGTAAATAACTCTGTGGCCAGATTCTGTTATCTCTGATGCAAGACAAGGCAGCTGAGAAGAAGTGGGTTTTTAAAGTTACTTTTTTAAAGTGGCAGAGACAAAAAAACCTATGGCTCTGCTGGTAGACTCGTTTGGGAACAGTGATTCAGACAACACGATTTGTAATTCAAATAGATTTTCTATTGGCCAAATGGATTCCAGTTTTGAAGATGATTCCCAAAAATTTATAATATAGACCTCTTCTGGCCTTAGGCCTTAGGGATTTGTGGGAAGACTTCAAAATTACCACCTTCCTCTATGGATCTGTAAAATTAACCATGGATACCTAGGTCAGATTTCCTTTTTCCTACTTTATTCTGTTTGGGCTTCCTTAGGGAAGACTTCAACTAACAGTATCTATAGGAGACATGTGCAATCAATTATTGATTTGAATCAAACCCTAAACTATCATATTATTATGCTAAAGGAAGCATCAGCAGGTGAATGCATTAAACCAGGAAGACCCTTTTTGGAGTAGCTTTTATGTGAGAGCTATACATTAGTGAAGGCCACAAACTATTCCCAACTGCAAACCATAGCAACACTTATCATTATTAAATGTCAGCCATTGTAAGTGTGCTTCCTCTAAGGCAGTTACCATGTAAATACAGTTTGTTAACATTTTCCACAGGTACTGTCAGCTTTATTGCCTACTGTAAGTGTTTTAAGTGATGAAGCAGTTTGGAGACAGTTAAAAGCTTCCTACTAGAGTTCAAACTGAATGAAACAGACTGTAGTCTGGTCTGAAAGGCATTGTTATTGTCAAGGGTGAACTTATGCAGAATGGAGTGCGAGGCCCCCAACCAGCATCCTTTTGTTTCAGCCAGGTGGAATATTCAATGCTTGAATATCACACTAGCCCGGCAGCTGACAAAGGAAGCCCAAAAATTCACAGGGCTTGGTTCCCTGGCTCTATCCTGGTGTCTGCTTTACTGTCACCTCCACAGAGAGGTCTTCAACCCCCCTAACCCAAAATATCACCCCTCCCTCTATTTGTAATGTTCAACTGCATAACACTTAGCGTCACCTGACACGTATGGCTATTTGTTTAACAGTTTGTAGCCTTTCTCCTCCTGTAGAAGTTGGGGACTTTGGGGGTTTGCACCTAGAATGATGCCTGGCACATAGCAGACAAGTTCAATAAACAGCGGTTAAGTGAATGAATGATTCTCAGCTATTATTCTTCTCAGGCCTCCACAAGTATACCATACCTATAAAAGTTAATTCCATTTCTAATCTAAAGTCAGGCTGAACTACAATGTCCTAATGAAGGAGTCTATAATAGAAAATCAGAAATATGCCAAGGGCAGAGAAATACAGAGGTGGCATTTTGTTTGTCAAATGGCAGCCAGTTATATTGGGTCTGGTAGAAAGAGATAAAGTACATAATATAAAACCAACCTTGGCGCCAATCTTTGGTTCTTCCGAGTTTTGTGTATAGTGACCTTGAGGTTTTTTTCTGCTCCTTGCCTCCATTCTTTCACTTGTAAAACAGACCTCCTTCTTAGTTTTAAGGGTAAAAGTTGCTCTTGGTCTCAGACATTTGGAAGGATTTGTAACTACTATAAATGCCAGCAATCTGGGAAGAGCATATTTAAGTGATTAGATATCTTTAAGTTCCTTAATAGAAAAGAGAGATCAAGGGCTCTAATGTTCATCGATTTGTTATCTGAAAGATCGAGGTTTGTTACAAAATGACATTTCAGCTAAATTGGAAGGCAGTTGGCAAATGTAGTATTAAGTAGAGTGACAGTTTTAGTCTTCAGTGAGAGCATATTCCAGGACAGCAGTTTGATTATTCTGACAGTGGGTTGTTCTGACTGTGGAGAGACATGTAACTTAAAAATAAAATTCACAAAATCACACAATTGTAGAGTTGATAAAAAAAAACCTTTGAGATCCTACATCTTGTCCAGATGAAGAAACTGACAGCCAGAGGAATAATTGTAATCATTCCTCATATTTGTTTCCAAATTTGTCACCACTGAAACTTTATGCAAAATGTCCTATTTTCTTGTCAATTTCAAACATTTCTGTTGTATCTCTGATTAATCAATATACCCTAGTGGGTCACTGAAAATTTGCAAATTCTAGTAACTATTAGCTGGGTCTGTAGCATTCCCAGGGAAGGGCCTCAAGGCAGATACCAAGCTCTTCCTAGGGTTAATGGGCATTATAGAGTTTTATAATAGGTTGCAGTTTCCCTAGGTCTCCAATTACTTTCTTTGCCCTTTGAGTATATTTAAAGCAATGTGATTAGAAAGCACTGGTTCTTTAATGTTTTGTACACCCAATCTCTCTTTAAATTTACTACTCCAATCCTCCCAGCTATACATCCCTTTCCCCCACCCTACCTCCTTTGTGAGTGAGGGGAATCCTCCCTTCAAAGTACCCTGATGCACTGGGTTTGGAGTTAGGAGACTTATATGTCTATTCTCTGTCAATTACTAGCTCTGTGACAGTGAGATAAATCACTGCTCTAAGGTTAGTTTCTTTTCATCTCTAAATTTGCTGGAGTTTGGGTTGGGTCAATGTTTAGAACTTTTGAGGAGGGAACACAATCCATTTATCAACCAAATAAAAAAAAAATCTCAATATAGAAACAGATCAAAGTGATGCTGCTCTGTTGAAGCTCTGGATTGGCTTCCTCCCAACCCCTTCCTGCCGCTCTCCCAACTCCTGTTCCTCCAAGGCAGCCTCAATCTCAACCTGGATGCTCCCAGAAGCTCCACCAGTTGTAATATTAAAGATTTTCTGAGTCTCTAGAAACTCCACACCTGGTTATGACACTAATACCACATAGTTGTTTACAGCTGTGCTGTCTTAAGGCTACAGTCCAAGTTGGGTGGGAGAATATAGGATCAGGTTCATTCATTTGACCTTGTTTGGGGTTGTAAACCTGCAGCCATCTTTGCCCACCTCACCCCTTAATCTACATTGAAATACCCCTTTCCCCACACCAGGAAATGTTTGTCACTTTTCATGAACAGATAATTAAACTAGTGTTCAGCTTAAATGAATAAGTTGCCTTAGGTACTGTAACCCTTTCAACTCCTGTAGATCTATGGTTTAATACAAACATTCTTACACTTTGCTACTGAAAAACTGCCAAAAATGGTAAGTAATTAAGGTCAAATCTTCCAGCCTATGCAACAGTAAGGCCTCATCTTTACCAAAAATTAGCTGGGTGTGGTGGTGTGTGTCTGTAGTTCTAGCTACTCAGGAAGCTGAGGCAGGAGGATCGCTTGAGCACAGGAGTTTGAGGTTGCTGTGAGCTATGATGACATCACTGCACTCTAGACTGGGCATCAGAGTGAGAACCTGTCTTGATAAAATGAAAATTAAATCTTCCAATAAATACTGAGAGAGTTGAACCATGAAAAGATACCCAAGATATATTAAGTTACAAAATCCTATATACAGTATGATCACATGGTTATAACTAATAATTTATAAACTAGTATATACATTGACAAATTATTTAGAGACTATAAATACCAAACCATTATATGGTTTCTAAAAGAGAGCAGATTATAGGAAACTATCATTTAGAAATTATAAAATAAATAGATTTTCATAGCTTCACATCATTTATAAAACTTTTCTCTTAATAATGCTCACACAAAACTTTTGTAAACAGCTTAAGAAACAATAAAGAAAATATATTACAATATTAATATAAGGAAGAAAAGTTTGAAAGCAGAAATTAACATTCCCAATTTAAATATTAGTTGGTGTGAGAAGATACATGAATAAATAATTCCTCTCCCTGCTCTCTTCCTTCCAGCCACAGACTTCAAGAGTGGAATCTCTGCTGCCTTTATTTACAATACTTTGAGAAGGAAGGTGTCACCACATTTCCATGGAGCCAGACACACTGGGGCAGGGGCTGCCCCAATTGATGCCTCATGTGTCTGTCAACGGATTCACTGACAGATTCTTTGGTTCATTTCAAGGGCATGATCTGTTGAAGGGCACCACTGTTCAACCTACACCTTCCCCTTGACTTAAGGACTTCACATTCTAAACTTCTACTTAAATCTTGATTTAGTCCAAAAAGAAGGCAGAGAAAAATATACAAAATAAGAGAGGAACGGAAACGATTAGTCTAATGTTCTGAACTACATAACAAAGCATGATACATAGTGATTACACTATAGTGGAGGTGTGGTTGAATTCTGATATAGGAATAAGAGGAAATGTTGATAAATCTGCTCTGGTTAGAATGTAAGGATCAAGAAATTTGTGAAAGTGAGGTGACAGTTGAGCTGGGTTTGTGAGGATTAAAAGTAGTTGATCAGGGCCGGGCACGGTGGCTCACACCTGTAATCCTAGCACTCTGGGAGGCCGAGGCAGTTGGATCGTTTGAGCTCAGCAGTTCAAGACCAGCCTGAGCAAGAGGGAGACCCTGTCTCTACTAAAACTAGAAAGAAATTACTTGGACAGATAAAAATATATAGAAAAAATTAGCTGGGCATGGTGGCGCATGCCTGTAGTCCCAGCTACTCCGGAGGCTGAGGCGGGAGGATTGCCTGAGCCCAGGAGTTTGAGGTTGCTGTGAGCTAGGCACTCACTCTAGCCTGGGCAACAAAGGGAGACTCTGTCTCAAAAAAAAAAAAAAAAAAAAAGTAGTTGATCAGGGTAATGAATGAGTGGGCTGGGCTGGGGCTGGGGTAGGGAACGGGCTGAGACCTTCAAAGTTTGAGAGCCAAAAAGGCTGGCACAGGAGGGAGGGGCTGAAGCCTGTGCCCCAAGACAGGCAGGCCCGGGCTGTGAATGGCTGCATGAGCCATCATAAGGACACCAAGTTGTTCTAGGGGCAGTGGGGAGCCACAGAAGCGTAGCACAGAAGAGTGACATGATCATATGTTTGCCCTAATTAGAGGGAGGGTGGAGAGAACAGCGCAGGGAGACCAGATAGGAAGAACCTAGATTAGAAGCTGCCCCAGTGGTCAAAGGCAGAGAGACTAAGACAGTGTGTCTGAGGGTGTGATTTCCAAGGCGGATAAACCAGACTTGTGGCTGCCTAGAGTGTATGGAGGGGTGTGGAAAGAGGGGGTGGCAGATGGGGCCCAGACATTTCTAAATGAGTCAGCATTCCCATGGTTTGCTTGAAAGGTAACCTACAGTTCAGCACTGATATGAGTTGTAACTTGGAACTGCAAATTTTATTCACTGCCCATGGAGACGAACTCAAGGTAACCTGAAGATTTACATTTCTAAGCTCAAACTTTATCTTCCTGTTGATATTCACCTTTCAAATAGTGTTTACATACTCCAGTGTTAAGGAGCTCAGGGTCAATCATTATGAAAGAAATAGAGACATGATTTTCAGGTTGGAATATAATCTATGCAGAAGAACTACCCAACTAACTTCTACTGCAGAGATCAAAATGGTATTGGAAAGTTAGTACAAGTAAGCAGAGATCTGCAATCTTGCAGTTAGTGTTTATTTAAAACATCCAAATAATAGATATTGCTCCTTTTTTTTCCTTAAAATTTTTTTAAGAAAGAGACAGTGTCTCCCATGCAGTGCAGTGGCCATTCACAGGCAAGATCTATTACTGATCAGCTTTGACCTTCTCTGTTTCTCACTGGGCTGGTTCACCTCCCTTAGGCAATCTGTATTGCTCCATCTTAATTTTCAATTATAGAATGTTTGCTGCTTACAGCTACATGCTCAAAACCTTTGCTTGCCATATATTTTCCTTTGATATTTAAACTCTCTACCAACTAGGATGGTTGGTTTCCTTAAGGGGAAATCTGGGCATGGTAGCTTTTTAACACCGTTACCATGCTGTAACTAACCAAGTGGTGCTTACAGAGGTGTCAGCGAAGAATGATTTCAAGAAGCCAGATGCCTCTTGTCAAAAAGGAAAAGGTCAGCAAAGCTTTCCATACATTTTTTTTTTTTATCTTATCTGACATCCCAGGCCCTTTCTGCAATGTGGGAGTTTAAAGGAGGTGATTTTGTAGTGGAGACTGGTTTACAAGCTTTAATTAGATTGTACCAGGGCCAGGACTTGGAATTCAAATTGTTCTATGGCTCTTGAATCACACATAATTCTAGATAAGTAACTGTCTTTTAATCTATATATATATATATATATATATATATATATGTATACTTTTTTTTTTTTGAGTCAGGATCTTGCTATGTCGTCTAGGCTAGAGTTCAGTGGTATGATCATAACTTACTGAAACCTCAAACTCCTGGGCTCAAGCAATCCTCCTGCCTCAGTCCTCTGAGTAGCTGGGACTACAGGCATGTGCTACCATGCCCAGCTAATTTTTCTAATTTTCTAATTTTCTGTAGAGATGGGGTCTCGCTCAAGCTGATCTGGAACTCTTGACCTCAAGTGATCCTCCTGCCT